TCGTTTATCTACTTTATAGTTTGTTCAAATCCCTAGAAATCTTACAAACCCGAAGCGTCACCAAACAGCTCTGACCTCATTCAATCATGATTTGCAACTTGAAAGTCCTGCGTACTCTAAAGACCTTTTATCAAAAAAATGGTCCTGCGTACTCCATCCCTATTTAAACGATGAAACTATTAACAATATTATGGTTCATACAATCACAACCGTCTAAATAGGAAGAACCCTCCATAGATATTTTTAGAGATGAATACAAAGTAATAGATGCTAGGAAGGGGTAAACGAAATATCCACATCAAAATTATCATATAATAACAGATCTATAAAATTTGTGGACCAAGTTCCAATAGCACACAATTAAACTATGGGTCTGACTGGTTACAATGCAGTGATTACGGAATTGCAAGCGTTTACGGATGCGGGAGATTGCGGTTTTAAGCATTAGTAAGAGATTTAGATGAATGATTTAACGGTTAAAAAATATTGTGTTTGCAGGATAGTTATGACTGATTAACTACCAAATACAACCGCGATTAAATAATAAATTAACAAAATTTATATTTTATATAGTTATAAAAATATTGAAATCATATTTTTATAATAAATATAAATATTTTATTGATAAAACTGTACTATTAATTTTTTTAAAAAAATATAGAAAATACATTTTTGGGAAATTTTATAATATAAATTAAAATATTATATATAAATTTTGGTATTTCAATTATTTTAATTTAAAATTTTAATTAAATATTTTATTTTCATATTTATATAGTTTTTTGAAATCTTTTTTTTTATCTTCCTGCAATCGCCCGCAACCGCAAACGCTAGCTGGAAACAGTTTTTGAATTTTAGAGATTCAGATCGATTAGAGCGGTTTATAGTGTTTTTTATGATTGTTATAAAACGCCAACAACCGCTACCAACCGTAAAAGCTGCATTTGCGGATGATGGCGGAAAAACCAGTCAGGTCCTATATCAACCTATTTCTCCCTAAAATAAGATATCAAAACTCGTTTCCACATAGACGAGGATTGAGTTTGATTTTAATGGTATATAACGTTAACTGATACTAAACCCAATAGTTTCAGTTGATATTGGTACAATCTGCCTAGACGAAGCAGTTATAACCCGACCCCCGAATCTTTATTAATCTTTCCCAAATCGATTTATCCTTTTTTAGAATCCTAAAATCTAAAAATTCAGAAAATAAAACAAAGAGAGAAACCCAAAAAAGATGAGTAACGAATTTGAAAATTTGAGTGGTATCTCTAGCGCTCAAACAAGAGGTAGAGTTGTTGGTGTTCCAAAGAGATGTTGGTGTTAAGAATTAGTTGTGTCGTTGATATCCAAGCTGTCGTGAATCCTTACATGAGATACTATGGCTAGGCTAATCCAGTTTACATCTTTAATCGAGTTGTAATTAGGTCATATGAAGTTTACTTAGGTTAGCTACTAGTTTAGTTTTAAAACATAGAATACTAAATCTATTTTAGATTGTCATTTGTTAATATTAGTTCGTTTTTCAAATTTTAGAGAGAATCGGGTTTTGATCTTTTTTATTGGGAAAAAATAAGTTGATATAGTTTAATTGTTTGCAATTAGGATGAAATCTAAAGTTTGTGTATATCTGTTACTATATGATAGTTATAATGTCGAAATAAATCGTTTATCCGTCAGGAAAAAGAAAAGAAGAATACGAAGTATGGCTTATATAAATCTGTTTTCTATCTAAATTTGTTAAATATATCTCATAGCAAAAAGTTGCATCATCATTGCGATCTTCTTAATTTTTATCTCCATGATCATTTTAACTTAAAACTAATAAAAATAATTGATACACTATTATTACTAGCATGACATACATAATGAAAACAAGATTTGAACAACTTAACTTTATATGTTGAAATTTGAACCTGTTGTATATCACCCACACCGATGATTAGGGCACATTTAAAAGGACATTTTAGTTTATTTTCCTATTATTGTATATAGATAAATAAAATTGATAATTTTATAGTTAAAAGAATATTGTTATGTATTTTTAGTTATGAGGGTTAACATATATGCTATTTCATTGATTATGAATTTATGACACCATGTGAAATTTAAAATTCTCATGCATTTTTTAATTTAAAATCAATTGACGACAAATGAGTTGATGTTTTCAACAACAGTTTTATTTAAATAAAATATAAAATTACAATCAGAGTACTGAAAATAATAGAAATACAATCAAATGTAAAGCTAAGATTAAAAACATACAACACAAAGATTAAAATCCAAAGAAACTTTCTTCTGATCCTTCTGATCCTTCTTGTTTTTTGTATAATATTGGCCAGATTTTAAATAGGATCTACAGATATTCTTTGGGGAAAAATCAAATTTATTAATTTTCTCAAAAGAAATAGTAATATGTTTCCAATCTTAACATACTCAAAAACTCTAATACGATCAAGTCATGATCAATCTATCTATCCTTTTCTATCTTTTGTTCTTCTCTTTTTCATTGAAAAGAGATATATCTATGGTGGATCAACGGTTATATTATCTCTTTTCCAATTCACCATTGCAATCTCCGATTTATTCTCTAAGACTATGATCGATGACAAGAAATTCAGTACAGTTATGTTGAATAAAGGATTAAGTGGTAAGAAATTTATTCTAACCACTTTACAAAAGAAATAAATACCACGGAAACCACTATACTGTGTCATCATTATGGATATAAAAGTGATGCAATTACAAATGTATTTTATACTTTTGAAAATTATAATTCAAAATATTCTTTTAGAAAACTATCAATTTTATTTAAAATATATCCATTTATATATTAGTTAATTATTTTGTAAAATTATGCGAGATTTTCCTTCATTCAACTTTTAATTTAAACAAGCACACAAACATAATTACTTAATAAAAAAAAGAGAGAAGAAAACATAAAACATTATCATGTTCATTGACCAAAAGAGGACACATGTTCCTCACGTAATACGAACTAGATTTTGACCCGCGCAACCGCGCGAGTGTTTGTTTTTCTTTATAGTTAGTTATATAAATATTTTTGTTTAACTTGTAAATTGGTATATATTATAATAATTACATATTTACAATGTGCATAGTAAATGTTTTTCAAACATAATAATATTATATAATACATGTTTTAATCAAATAAATTGTTTCAAATTTTCTATATTATACATGTTTTTCAAACATGTATTTGTTTCTTCTTCTATATTTTATTGTTTGTTAGATTAGTATTTCATTTTTAAATAAAGTAACATAAATATAACTTGATTAAGTATTAATATATTTTAATTTGCAAAGATAATAAAATATGTCGAAGGTGTGAGGTAATTTACCCAAACTAAATGTATCCTTATAAATAATAGAAGATTCCTAAACTTATATCTATTGATATATTTTGCGTTATCGGAGGGTTAATATTCTGTTAGATCTATTCCACACATATATAAATATTCCATATTACGAAAATCTGTGATTTTTGTTAATATATCGTGTATGTATTTAACTATTATTGACATATTTCCTTATAAATAATAGAAGATTCATAAACGTATATCTATTGACATATTTTGAGTGACTAAGTTGGAAAGTGTGGGGTAATTTACCCAAACCAAATTTTTAAGCGTATGTTTGTTATCATATATATGATTTTCATAAAATATAATAAGGATAAGATCAGAGAATTTAATATAACCCTCCTTTCTAGGAATAAGTCCAAAATTTAAAAAATCACACATGAAGTCAAGTCATGACTTCTGTTTTAATATATAAGATCTTTGCCCGCGCAACCGCGCGGGTATTACTTTCAGTTTTTTATACATATGTTATTTATTTTATGAATATATATTTTTAATGTTGAACATATATTTAAATGTTTATATAAATGTATTGTTAATTTTAAGATGCTCTTATGTATTAAGAGAATGAAAATGGAAATTAAATATGGTTGTTAAGATTTTATTATACAAATGCAAAAGATAAGGTTACAACTTTTCTAAGGAAGTGTCCATTTTTTAAAAAATCACACATGAAGAGAAGTTGTGACTTCTCTTTTAATATTAAAACAGAAGTCATGACTTGACTTCATGTGTGATTTTTTAAAAAATGGACTATTACTAGAAAGTTATGTTACATTAACTCTTAATCTTATCATTATTATATCTTATGAAAAACATATCTATAGTAACAAATATACGCTTAACAAATTCGTTTTAATAAATTATCCCACACCTTCCAACTTAGTCACGCAAAATATGTCAATAGATTTAAGTTTAGGAATCTTCTATTATTTATAAGGAAATATGTCAATAATAGTTAATTGCATCTACAATATATTAACAAAAACCACATATTCGTAATATGGAATATTTATAAAATTATATTGTTTTTTCTAAAAAAATTGTTTAAAAATTCCTTTTTAATAAAATTATTTATAATATTAATTCACGAAGCTATAAGTTTAGTTTTTAGCAAAAAAAAATTTCGAAGTTTATATTATCGTTGCAAATTAAAGTATACTAATATTTAATCAAGCTCTATTTATATTAATTTATCTAAAAATGAAATACTAATCTAGCAAACAATAAGATATAGAAGAAGAAACAAACACATGTTTGAAAAACATGTATAATATAGAAAATTTGAAACAATATATTTGATTAAAGCACGTATTATATAATATTATTATGTTTGAAAAATATTTACTATACATATCGTAAATATGTGATTACTATAATATATACCAATTTAAAAGTGAAAACAAAATATTTATATAAGTAACTATAAACGAAAATAAACACCCGCGCGGTTGCGCGGGTCAAAATCTAGTAATAGTCCATTTTTAAAAAAAATCATACATGAAATCAAGTTATCACTTCTGTTTTAATATATAAGATGTGATCTACACCACTGTTCTTTTGTTGTTGCTATTTTGCTCATACAAATCACATCCCCGAAAGTGACATCATCTCTTATTCTTCAACCGACATTCTCCCAAGTTTATTCTCCACCTTCTCTGATGAGCTTCCATCAACAAGTCCCATAATCAGTCTAAGAGAGGAGATGTTTCTATCACCACAAGCCAATATCTCATCAAGTCCTACTACAGAAGACGGTGATGGTGTGAACAGAATAAAATCTAGACTTGCATAGCTCCACGTTGGAACCGAACCCATCGCTACCCACTTGTTATCGATCAAGTCGTACATATAAACTAATCTGGCACAAGAAAATTGTACTGTGTTCTTCTGATCACCCCTCAACACTATACACTTGCTGTTGTAAGCTTCTATGTACCATTCAACTCCAATTTTCTTAATCACTCCGTTGTGAATCTGCTTCATGAGGACCCACTTGGGATCACTGAGAATATTTTTGAGAGAATAAACGCAAATAACTTCTTCATTGGCTGATACCAAAGTCAAGCTATTATCGATGGAAGCAAAGACTGTTCTCGAACTCAATCCATGGGGCAATTCAATTTGGATCAGTCGAGCTTGCTCTGTTTCGGGGTTGAAAGCTATGATGCTTCCGTCGTTTCTTAGCCAGTGAAGAGACCCGTCCACGTAAATAGGGTTCTTCATACTGTAATCAAGATTGCTTTTGTGGCAAGCAAGTGTCGTTTTAGAAAGTGTCCATGAGTCTCCGGCGTTAATATCGAAACCATACCTAGTTTCATCTGTTTTTGCCATCTTGAATATGCATACGACTTTGAAACTCTTTGTGGTTCGATCAGTCTGATCAACCGCGAGCCCTAGTACCATTCTCGCATCGTAACGCATGTGATTAGACAAAGTCAAGAATCGAAACTTCTTCCTAACAGGATTTGTCACGCATAGACGATCATCAATGAAATAAAGAAGAAGAAGGCCTGAGCAATATCCCAAAAGGCGACATTCCCTTGAGATTCTTTTGATTTTCAGTGACCTAGAATCATCGTGAGGATTGTAGTAGCCTATGTTAACTGAGCCACGCGTGGAGGTGTGAAGCAAACTGGATTTGATCTGAGAATAGTATTCAGATACAAAAGAAGGGTTTTGTATATGCGACTGGAGTGATGTATTTGTACAACACAACATAGCTAGAGCTCTTAGATCTGTCTTGAAGAGAACCTTGTCTAGGAGATGTCCAGGTAAGCTGTCCATTACAGAAGAAATTAGTTGCAGTTTGATATGAAGCTAAGTGTGTTTTATATATAGATAGGACCTATGAAATTCCAAGAATTATATTGATTTTGAAAATATATAATTTAAGTTAAAAAAAAAGAAAAAAATCTAATAGTTTTTTTATTAGTAAAGATAAAAGGTTAAATTTACTCATATTTATTAATTGCTTATTAATTTAACTCTAAATTTATTTTAAAAACCAGTTTAAATTTCATACTTATTTTCTCTTAGTCATTTATTATTAGAATGTCATTATTATATTTTTAAACTGAGCAGAAAATAAATAAATAATGATTTTTTTCCTTTAGACAAACTTATTTTGTACATGTTTTATCTATCCATTCACATAAATTTATTTCACTTTGGTAGCATATTTTTATCTAATTATTTACATTACTAACTGGAATCTCAATAGATTTGTGTACAAGAATTTTCAAAATTTCGTATTTAAATTCAATAGTTTTAATAAAAAAATGTTATAGTTGGTCTTTTTGCCACATATTTACTTAATTTTGACATATTTATACAGGATTTCACAGGTTCATTTTTCTTTAACCACTGATTTTGTTGGTTTTGACAGACTTCATTGGATTCAATACTTTATTTTATTATTTAACCACCAGTTTAATTCTGACGGATTTAATTAAATTTTAATATATTTAATTAAATTTGATAGATTTGTTTATTATTTGACCACAGATTTACTTAGAGCATCTTTATTGGATTTTTTGGTAACATCAAATTTATATTAAAAAGCTCAAAGAGCATAAAAGTTCACAAATGAATCAGAAGATCCCGGACTCATGTTTGACGATAAAATGAAGCTAGAAAGCACACAACAAAAAAACTAATAACAAGAGAGAGTTGTTTTGTAGTTGTTTCCTCGTAAATGAGGCTTTACGAGAAAATAACTACGAAACGGAAAACGTCGTGACACGTTTATCGTAATGTATATTTCCTCACTAAAACCTCGCTATGTTATGAGGAAATTTTTCTTCGTAAATCTAAGCCTACCTTTTCTCGTAAAAGATAAACTATGTATTCCACGTAATATACATGTTAAATGTTTCCTCGTTAATAACACGTAAACATTTCCTCTTAAATATCTAGTTAAGTTTCGTCGTTAGTCACACGTAAACATATTCTCGCAATGTCCACGCTAAGTGTTGTAGTTAATTCCACGAAAACGTAATGACAAATTTACTTGGAAACTTAATTTTTTTGATTTGATAATTAATTATAATAAAATATAAAAATAAATTATTTAAAAATTAAAAATAATAGACGAAAATGAAAATATTTTATAAATATTTAAGTTTTAAATGTATATTAAAAATAAATAAAACGAACTAGGAGTGGAGGTTCTCTGAGTCACCATTGTTTCTTCTGTCTGTCTCGTCCTGGCGGTCGGGGACTGGAATGCGCAATTGTCTCCGTCTCGCTGTTAACATCATTTCCAATTGCGAATTTCCAGCCGTTAGAACGTCAAGGAAACCCTCGAGTGATCCCATTTGAGCTTGCGTCGTGCTCAAATCATAACGTGTCGCGTTCAACTTCGAACGCAGCTGAGCTGTCTCATCTTCCTGTCGCTGAGCATAAACTGATGTCGCTCTTGGGACATCGTTAATGGAACCGATCCCCAATCTACGTCCCTTTTTCTTAGTGACGACCTTTTAAAAATATAAAGATTAATGTTAGCTAATAGTAAAAGTTAGATATGATGAAATGAATAATAATAAAAATAATTACATCCTCGTAAATCTCATCCACTTCAGCTATGGAAAATGTGACGGGTAGCCCATCGGGTGACTGCTTGGTCAGCTGGGTTTGGCGCTCTTCAACCCGAGCAACAACGTCGTTGTATATTTGCTCGGACCTAAGATCTACACACTTCCCAGCATTGTTCTTGTGGGTCCTCTCGTAAAGATCCTTAAGAGATGGTAGATGTCCCATCTCTTTAGTCTAAAAATATTTTTAAAAACAATTAATCAATTAAAACATATTAATCAATTAAAATATATATAATAAAAAGTAATTAAATTAATTTAAATATATATTTACCATTCCTAAACGGACACTAGCGTGGGGTCTTTGACCCGAAGAGTGAAGCATCGAAGTGTTTCCATGCTCATCTTTTGTCAATGACGGATGAGGCCATCCCACACATACTTTGTGAGCTCAGCGGGTTTCCCGTGCTCATCACCGTCCACCAGATAATCGTCCTTCCAGTTGGACACCGTGTCCAATAATCGCGCATTTGCCTTCTAGACAAAAGCTTTCTTCACCTTCTTGTTCACTCCCATGGACCAACACCATTTTTGCTGTAGCAAATTTTTTTTTAGATTAATTAACATTTAATCCAAAAATATCTTAAAATTTTTACTTAATAATTAAAATTAATAATCACTTACAGCAAACATTTTGAACTACGTCTTTCTAACGTGGTCCGGCGTCATTTTACAATTTGGATGAGCATCTGGAAAATAACCTTTGATCGCCTCGGTGACGCTCTTTGCGACACAACCGTCAACCCCAAACCTGAATTGAAAAAAAAACAAATTTAAAATTATTAAATATTTAATGGTATTATAAATTTAAAATATTGTTAAAAATGAAACGTATCAGAAAGTGCCTTCTGGTTGGTCGGGGTCTAACACTGGTAAACCTTCTCTGCCTGGCTGAGCGAGAAGGTCCTCGATGGTGTACCTAGCATAAGGAACCGTCGGCGGCACCATCAAGTCCGGATGAACATTGGCGGGAAGAGGAGGAGGAGGCACGTCATCCGGAACATAATCCTGCGGTTGTGGCGCAGCAAACAAAAGAGGAATATGTGGTGGCACAATGAAAGGAGGCGACTGTGAGACTCTCTGAGAAGACTGAGTCTCGGGACATTATCGGAACTGAAGAATCGGGAGCTGACGAAGATGTACCGCCTATATGAGTACCTGAAACGCTAAAAATGTCTATGTAATGAGTCTTCGACTTGTTAAGCTTATTAGCTCTAACCAACTAAAAAAAATTCAAAATATTAATCATTTTAAAAATATAAATATACGTACTAATCACATAAAAACATGTAATTCTATAAACTTATCTAAATTCCTTACACTAAACCACCTATCATCCTAAACTAATCCTAGACTAACCACCTAAACTAATCATAAACTAATTACTTAAACTAACTAGAGAGGAAGTAGAGAGGAATACCTTGAGAGGAGTAAGAAAGGAAGTTACTACGAATGAGAGAGGTCGGGTGGTTCGAGCTTATACGTAAACTACTCGTAACTTTACGAGGAAATAACCAGGCCGCGCTTTTTTCCTCTTAAAGTACTCGTTAAGCTTACAAGGAATTAACTAGGCCAGCGTTTTATTCCTCGTTAATTTCTCGTGAATGAACGAGTACTTAGCCAGGACCGTGTTTTTTAGTTAGGAGGAATTATCCAGGCCCGTGTTTTTCGCCCACGAGGAGTTTACGAGGAAATGATTTATGTGGAATACGTGGAAATTACGAGGAAAAAAGTCTTACGTGAAAATAACCAGGCCCGTGTTTTTTGGTTAAGTGAACTTAACGAGGAAATGTTTCCCTAAACCCTAAAATCTAAAACCTCAAACCCCAAACCCCAAACCCCAACTTCCTTAACTTATAACACAATTTACACTTCTTCCTAAACCTCAATCTACTCTTCATAAACCCTTAAATACATAAAATGTTTTGCCTAACCAACAATTTCTTGCTTGTTAATTTCATTTTCATAATCAAACAATTTAAACACATGCATTAAGTCTTTAAATTAATAATATTAAAATTACATCATCATTTCGCTATATTATTATCATTATCGTCATCACTAGAAACATCATCGTCTCGTTAAACTCGTCATCAACAGCTTCGTGGTGATATCACCGGAAAAATCTTCGTATTCACGATTATGCGGATCGATGAGAAGGATGTCATCAACTTGTTGTTCAGGTTTCCCGACTCCATTGGTGTGTTCTTCTTGTAAAGGTGGCTCTTCTCCAGCGATTATGCGTCCTCGGGGTGTAACTTTGATAACAGCTAATTATCCCAAGGTTGTCATCTGAGGGTATGGAACAAAGCAAACTTGGTCTGCTTGTGAAGCTAATATATAAGGCTACAAATTTTTTGTATCTTCGTCCACCATTGACATCAACTACACCAAATTGGTTAACCCGAACACCTTTGTTGATGACGGGTTCGAACCACTCACACTTGAAGATAATGCATTTAAGCTTCAATAATCCTGGAAATTCAATTTCATAATCTCATGTAAGATCCCGCAGAAATCTGTTTTGCCTTTCACACATATTCCATAATTACTTGTCGCCCGGTGTGAACCATACTCATATTTATGAAAAGTATAGCCTCGTGTGAAATACATCGGTGATGTGGTGACCTTTGCAACTGGACTTTGACCTAATTCGTGATACCATGCAGGATAAGCTGGATCGTCATAATTAGCCTGCAAAAATAAAAAGAACTTTGAAATTAGACATGCTAGCAGTGAACATTGAAAAATAAATTAAGAAAACGTTATAATACATTTTTCCTCAACCACTTAATAAAGTATTGATCTTTCCTTTTTTCTAATTCACTTGTGGATATATACGGGATTGTTTCTTCGACTTGAGAAACAAATTGGTTGTACACTTTTCTGTTAATTAAAAATATATATATATATATATATATATATATATATATATATTTATATATATTTTTGTGTGTGAGTGTGTGTGAAATTATATATACGTTAACTACGTACCTTTCAAAATAGCAAATCAATGCATGCTCGTAATTGAGAAGTATATAAATGTGTGCACTATGGAGGTCTTAATCACTCAACCACCAAGCCTCTTTCAATTTCCCACTAAATCGCCCAATTTGGCAAAAGATATCTGGAACATGTTTTTCCGAATATGTTGGGACAACACCACCATCATCATATCTTCTTGGAGCTTGT